ATATGAAATAAATCAGTTATTATATTATATAGTGATCCAAGTTGATTGTGAAAAAGTCGAGCACTTAAATAAAGTAATCATTACTTTTGGTTGGGTTTTGGTTGCTTCAATTATCTTAAGAAATACCCATTTATGAGATTCAAGACTTTTGTCTATTAAAAGTGTCTATGCAAGCAATACATTATATTATGATAGTTATTATCAAAGCCAACAAATAATAACAATGCCATTTTATATCTATTAGTATTATGAGTAACATCGTTGAGTATACAATCAGAATACTTAATCTAATATTTAACTTGTATTGGAGTCATCTATAATAAATAGATTAAACAATTTTCACTGTTCTATCCTTTAGCAACAACCCGTCGTGGGTTACTGTCTTTCTTTTAGTCCAACCAATTAGAAACTTTTGCAGCATTATCAAATAAAAATTTTTTAGTAGGCTGAAATTTTCACATAACAGCATAAAGATTTTTTGAATAAACCAGATATGAAAGATATTTTCTCTCCAAGAACTTTTTCTGTATTGTTGTACCAAACTTACAACATATAGTCATAAATCCTATATTCTCTATTATTTGATCCGTGAATTTTTTATTATCTTCAAACTTGATTATGTCTTGACTTAATATATGATTGTGCTTATCTTTTACTTTGTTGACTATTATAGCTATTTCAGGATTATTAATCTTCGAGCATGATATATTAATCAAAAATGAGCACCAGGATTTCTTTGTGTTGGTACCTTGATCTGAAGTAGACTTATATGATCTACTATGATCACATAAAAAAATATACCAATGAATAAAACCCTCTTTACAACAAACTCGATCTTTAACAATTCAAAAATCCTGTTTCTTAGCCTAATCAATAATGAAATTTTCATATACATCCCATAATACAAATCTTTTTCCAGAATATAAAATTAAATATTCATCTTCTCGGGTAAGAATTGCTTTATTAATATAATCCTCTATTAAAAATCAAACCAAATTATATTAAAATTATATTAGATATATAAACTCGTTATAAATGTAAACATATATCACTTTATATACTATATGATAATATAACAAATATATCAGCTTCAATTGTAGAAGGTGGTAATACAGCAGCAGCAGGTAAGTAGGTTCATATTGTTCTTTTGGAGAACTTACAAAATAAATAAATTCTTTTAGAAAGCTAATAAAACATATAAATTATCAATATCTAATAAATAAGGTGTATTCTTACTGTTAATATATATAGACAAATGTACTTCCTCTAGAAGATCGTTGGGATAATTAGGTTTGTGTTCTTCTTCTAAATAGTTAATAGGATAAGCAGAATTGTATGTTTCTAGAAAACTGGCACAGTAAAATAAGTAGCATTGCTAAAAAAAAAATACCCATACTATAATCAAACTCATATTTTCTATCTGAAGAACCAACAGATTCATATTCTCTTTCCGAATAAGTAACAAGATTATTAGACTATTCCTTTTCCTCTATTTGAATATTCAGCATTCACTTTTATATTATAATATATACACAGCTTAGTATACTTAAAATGGGAAAAAAACTAAGCAAATTATTCTTACTTTAGCTTTGTAGTAAAAAGCTTTTAGCTTGCAGGTATGAGTAAGCTTAATTGAGCAGTATGAGTTTATTTGAACAGTATGAGTAAGCTTAATTAAATAGATATGTATAAGCTTATATAAATAGATATGTGTGAGCCTGTATAAGCAGATATAGGTGAGCTTGTATAAGCAAGTATAGATAAGCTTAATTAAGCAAATATATATGAGTGAACTTCACAATTGTTTAATAGTTGAGCTTCAAGTTTGCTTAGTTTAGTGGGTGTAGTTGAGCTTATATTTGCTTAGTTTAATAGATATGATTAAGCATTATGTTTGCTTAGTTAAGGGCAATCGCACTTATTACGTAATATTTTTTTATCAAGGGGTTACCCCTTCCCTTATATCAGATTTATTAGCCAATCAAAATCAATATAATATATATATATATTATATACTACGTAAGATCTCTTTGACTTCTCTTCCCCTCTTGATATTACGTAATAAGGCTACTCCCCTAAGTGGATATGGTTGAGCTTCACATTCATTTAATTTAGTAGATGTGGTTGAGCTTCACGTTTGCTTAGTTGCTTTAAATATATAAAAACTTTATATTTGCTTAATTCTGTTAGATGTAAAAAGCTTAAGTTTGCTAATTGTATTAGATACAAGCAAACTTCATGGTTCTTTATTTGTATAAGATATGATTAAGCTTGGTTGGAAATGTGAGTAGTAGGGTTTATAAATTAAAAAAACTTTAGTTTGATCTGTTAAAAGAGTGTACTATTATTATTACTGTATTAAAAAAAAAAAGTACAATATGTACTGTATATATTATCAATTATCATTATCTAAATCTGGGGATCTGCAATAAATCACATATGTGAAAAAAGATAAATTTCTTTTAAAAATAATTTTTTAAAAAAAAATATTTAGTTTATCTATGACAAACCTTTTAAATATTAATTTTAGACCTATAGTTTCTAATACAATTTTAATTTTAATTATTATAAATCTGGTAATTAACTTGTAAAAATTAATACTTGTCTTAAGAGTAAAAATTTTTTTCTAGCTTCGAGAACATATAAAATTTTAGAAAACTTAAAAAAAATTTTAATAGTAAATCCTAATATTATACAAACTTTAAACTTTAATTAATTAAAAGTTTTTTTAATAATTTTAATAAAGTAGATCTTTAAAAATATAATATATTTTAAAAAACAACTCTTTCTGTCAATCATTTACACAAAACTTAACTAAAAATTTGTCAGTTAAAAATCTTTAATAACACATTAATTTACTAAAACAA